TAAATAAACTTTCCTCTAAAAAGAAAATAAACTGCTGAAACATCATCTCCAAATTATATCTTTCGTCATGCCTTCTTAAACTTTAATTCGGTTGTTGAACTGATTAGCAGCGTATTTTTATACATATGTAAATACTTAAAACATTTCGTTTTAATTTTTACCGATAACAATTAGGACTGTAATTTTATTTCCTCCTCAAAATCATATCGCAAGATAATTGATTATATCGAAAACTTAATCCCCAACAAATCCTCAGATATCCAAACCAAAAAAACGAATCTCCATTTCCAAACAAAAATCCCCAATTTGGGGATAAATCCCCTAAACTGGCAACACTGGAAACCGATTATGCGATTTCCTACGAATTCGTTTCAACGGTCGAAAGTCGAAAATAACGGCGAATTGCACTTGTGCAATAAAAAAAACGAAGTCAGTAATGCAGTTTTTTACATTAAAACCATTTTTTGGTGAAAAAAATGTGTAGTTGGCCGTCAAATTATTCTCTTCAATTTGTAATGAAATATTTTTAATGTTTATTTTGAACTTTGAAAACAATAACGTAAATCGAATGGATTACAGATGAGCAGAGCAGTGTTACATTTCATATAACTCCAAAATTTTGAAAACATCACAAAATTGTTGTTCAATTCTTGTACGTATTTTCCAGTATTGGTGGTTCGATGGTCTCGAAATCAAATCAAATTTTTGTATCATTTTTACAGCATTTAAATTCAAACACTGAGCACAAACATTATTAGAATAGAATTTTATTATTCCTTCATTGGTCTTTTAAAAATATTGCACTTGTTTTTTTTCTTATTTTTTTATTTTGTTTTTTATCGTTTAGTGTATTTGACCCTTGGTCAATATTAGCACTAATAAATTTCAGACAATACACATTTTTTCTTTTGTTTTGTTGTTGCAATTTCGCAAAAATCAAATATATTTTTTAGAATTCTATTTGGTGGGCGTTTGTGAAAAAATGATCAAAAGACATTTAGGTTTATATTTTTTGCTCATTATAAGTGTATTCAAAATATCTTCAGCTGTAGGTCATTATAGCCGGTATCAACTGTATATTTTTTTGGCTATTCTATTTTTATTTTGCATTCTTTAGTGTTGATAAGTAACAATATTTTGTGGTTTTGTTTTCATAACAACAAGGAAAATAAACCGAATTTTATTTAAGAACATTTTTTGGATATTTTGGAATTTATTTAATCCATAATGAAATCTTTGTTTTTGGATGGATATATGCAGAATTTTCACATTTTAACACATTTTTTTTTTGTTGTATTTTAAAAACAATATAATACACATGTAGAAAACAAAATTTCTCCTTTAAATATTTAAACAAAATCACATTTGTTTAGTTATGCAATTATACATACTTAATATTTACACTTATTGAAACTTTTTCTCTTTTTTTCAATTATTTTGATTATTTAACACAATTATTCGCAAATGTGTTGTTGCTGTATTTTTCAAACCTTTGTATTGTGTTTTGATTTTCGTTTTTTCATTTTGTTTCTTTGCACTTTGTATTTAATTGATATTCTTCATTCTATGTATGTCGGTCGATGTGTATGTATTTTGTTTATAATTTCGCACTTCCTTTTCACACTGGTCATAGGTACAATAAAAACAAAAAATATCATTCCATTATCATAGCAAAATTCTGCTTCATTAGTTAATCAGTAACAGGCAGGCTAACCAAACAAAAAAAATATTCGACGCTGAATCACTTTTAAAATATATTTTTGTTTAAAAGAAAAAAATACTTTGCTAAATACTTTTTGGTTTGTTTTTGCATTAAAATTCCACAGAATAATATAGAACGAAATGTTGACGTACATTTATTTATTATTATTTTGTTTGTTTTGTATTATAATTTAGCGCAGAAAAATCGCGCACACGAATTGGCCAAATAGCCGTAACGGCAATAACATGTTTCTCCCACGGCGTACAAAAATCAACTAACGACGACAGTGTGCGTTGTTTTCCTCACATAGTTCATTCATAATATCGTAAAAAATAATAAATCCCTCTCTCTCTTTCTCACACTCTCTCTCCCTTACTACTTACGGTCTCTCTGTTATTTTGTTTTGTTTTTCTTTTCCATTGAACTCTCTTTGTTCTGGGAGAGCAAAGACATGCGGTTGTCCCGCCGTTAGGTACTGGTGTGTACGTTTGTTAGCCAGGGATGGGAGTAAATATGAATTCTCAAAATGTGCTAAAGAGGTAAACAGTTGCTTTTGGGCTGTGGTGAGGTTGATGATATTTTCTTTGCCAATTTCATGTGAAACCAAAGATGACACATTTGTTTTCCTCAAGAAGAACCCGATATTACGATTTGTGGTTAGAAGTAAAGATATGAAAGAAAAGATGTGTGTCCACAAGTAGCCAATTATGGAGACACATTTACTGAAGCACGGACAAAGATACATCCATTACCGCCCGATTTTTTGCGAACAATAAATTTTTATTTATTCACATATGGTTATAGCTTTAATAAATATGTTATAAATAAAATTGTTCATTCCTTACGAAAATATTTCATAAAAATAAGAGTAATAATGCAAATAAAAAACGTGTTTTGTAGTTCTTTGCATCAAATTTTCTCTACAAAACATAAAATTCAAAATATAAAGCATCAGTTTCTAAGAAAAACAAAAAATATGGAGAATGAAAATCAAATTAAAAAATCGTGCTAATTTTGTAACTGTGTAATATTTTTAATAGTTAGTCTAATCATCAGTGTTTCTGAAATTGGGCATTAATGTCCAGAAGAAGGCCCAAAAATAGAAAATAAATGATTTGGGCGATTTTTGGGCATTTTATTATATCCGTTATAAAATTTAATAAAATGTATCTTCTCAAGGATAATAATAGATTTTATGATAAATACCGGTCAATATTGGGCTGGTCAAATGGACCGAGATTTTTGTGTAAAAAAATACTAAATTTATTCCGGAAAACGTAGACGGCGGAAGGTGACAGCAGTGTTGCCAATTTAACACTTTTAATGCTAGATTTAGCACTTTTCAAAATCGTTTAGCACCAAAAAAGTGATCTAACACCTAGCACATTTTTTAGCACTTTTATTTTTTTCTGGAACTAGTTAAAATTTTGGGTATTATTTCGATTTCAAATTGCGCATTAAATTGCCCCTATGTTTTACGCTATGAGTTTGATTTTAAAATGTTAAAAAAGTGTCAGTACATCTGTAAACAATTGAAAATCTTGAAGTTGGGCCGGTCAAAACTTTTTATATTCTGCACCATGTGGAGTGTATTAACATTTTCTCAAATAATGTTCGGGTACTTCATATGGTTACTATAGCATTGCTTGCTAATAGGTTGTTTATTTTGTAAAATGAAAAACCGGATTAAGTGGGTCTTTGTATTGATGTGAAAGCATGAACCTAAATCGGAAACTTTCTGGAAAGGAGTTTTTTTCACCGTGAAAACGGAATGCCAAATTATAGCAATGGGCCGCGTTCCACTTTATAATGGGGTTATGTCAAAAGATGGACCTACATCAAAAAATTCGGCAAACAAATTTTTAAATAACAGACTATTCGGCGGGAAAAGGTTCTAAACCTTAAAAGTAGGCAACCTTTATATGGGGGATAAGTCCAAACATATACCTATGTAGAAAATTGTCGCAAAAATATATACTACCCTTCAAGAATCCAGAGTCTAAAAGCTTCAAATAATTAATACCAGTTTAAAAAAACTGGTATTAATTCCTGGGGAAATTGACACAACATTAATATAAAAAGTTTCAAATTATATTCAATTCTATGGAAAAACTTGACCGATGTCCACAAAATCTCGTTCTCTAGGCCCTACCCCGAAACATAGACCCACATTGATATTTTTTGGTGGGGAAATCTATACCTAATGAGAATCCAAAATATCAAATTACAACCAATTTTACTAATTTATCTTATACAATCATTATCACTTTTATTTGCCACTTTTTTACATTTTTTAGGACTTTCTGGCACTTAAAAAAACTAGTATTTTTATCAACAACGTTTTGGCAACACTGGGTGACAGTGAGTAGTTAACCTTTAAATTTATACCAATAATTTTGATGAATATTCTCGGATGTGGAAATTATTATCCAACATTTTCGCTCTATTTAATATAGAGCCGATCGTTACCTTTTTAAAGTTCCGGGTGACACCTATAGTTTTCGCTTAATATTTATGGTATAAAAATTACCAAAATCCTTAATTTTTATTTCCATTTCTATCCGATCTATAGACCATAATTAGAGTCCGAAAAAATGAATCTGGGCAACAAATAAACATGATGGGTATGAAATTTTTTTCTCCACGAAGACAGAGATTTGAGAATTTGGCAACATATGAAAACCATTATTTGTACTTTGGCATATCGCTTATGTGCTGCATGAACGGCATACAGTGAACTCGCGATAATGTGAACATCCACTACAGTGAACTCTCGGGATAATTCATAATCACTGTGTGAATGTTCACATTATCGAGAATTCACTGTATATCAAAAAATCAAGCGGTATGTGTTCTTATATTATTTAGTAATATTGAAGTCCCAAATATGGACCACAGTCACTGAAAAATTAAATTCAAATATAGGCAACCGTCTCTAAAAATTCCAGTCCAATGGTACGACTATTTTGCTCCGTTTATTCCTACACTAATAGAAAAAAACAAAAACAAGTAAAAAAGTGTCAGCCGGTGTTAATACACCTAATGGTTCCCGAGAAATTCGTGTAAAAAAAGATACTGGCCAAGTACAAAAATAATAGATTGGTTCTAGACTTCAAAAAATAAGTTAAAATTAGACTAAATAATATAAAAAAATATATTGTTGTAGTTATTTTAAGAATTTATAATAAAATAAATTAAAATTTAGATTTCATAAAAAAAATAATACCAGAAATTCATTGCCAAAAAACTTAAATAGCATAAAGTACGACCATAAGAAAAATTTAAACATTAAACAATTTTATTTATTGTCACTGTCTGATAATAAACGTAAACGTTTGCGAAAGACTACAATATCACTGCCATCACTGGAATGATTTTGTTGATCATTATCATTTCTAGCCGACTGTGTTGGGACATCAGTAGATTTTTGAACGAAATCAGTTATTTTAGATTGAGTTTTATTTCGCGTTAACCCATTATAAACTTCCCTGTAAGATGCCATTAATGATTTCAGTTCACGTTGAAATTTGGCAGCTCGTTCCTCGTCATGATCATGTTGTTCAAAATGACTACCTAATTTTGTAGCGAGATCAAGACCTTCTTTAATTAGAGATGCTTTCAAAATTGGACGATCTCTTTCGTCACTGTCACTAGGTTCTTTATCATAACAAGTCTCAAGGGTGAGATCTATAATTTCATTTTCGCTCAAGCTTTCATCTACCAACAATTCTTCTACATCTGCTAACGATAGGTCATCGAATCCATCCCCACCGATTGCATTGGCCATTGTTATTATATCAGCAAGTTCAGCGTTATTATCGATAACAGGATCTTTGCATTTTACGCATTCTGACCAAATATTTTTCCAACACGAGTTCAAAGTTGATGGCTTTAATAAATCTAACGCGATCTTGACTTGATTAATGCAGTGCATTATAGAAAATTTTTTCCATTCATCTATGACTAATGATTCCTCATAATTATCAAGTTTTTCTAAAACATAATGAAATGAACTTCTTATGTAATACGTTTTAAACGTAGCAATTATCCCCTGGTCTAGTGACTGCTCCAAAACTGGATGGCCTGGTGCATAGTCTAGAATCAAAAGAACTTTAAATTCGAGACATTTTTCTTTCATGTAGCGCCTAACTTCTGGGATGAAGTGCTTCTGAAACCACTCTGTGAAAATTGCACTGGTTACCCAAGCCTTGTTCGCCATCCAGTGTACAGGCAATTTATTGAAATCTACACTTTTCATGGAACGTGGTCTTAAGGCACGATATACTACCGTGCCACCATTCATGTTGATAATAGATAAAATAGATAATAATAGATTAAATCGTGAGGTAAGGTTATATGGGGCATATATCAGAACATGGACCCCATTTTCCACACTACATTTATATGGGGACTTTATCAAAACATGGACCCAGAGACCCCATTTTCCATACCAATAGTTTTTTTAATATAAAAAAATAGGTGAGCCAAATTTGGCGCCTACGTTTAAAGTATTATAAATGATAGCGACTTGATTAAAGAAACCCGGAAATAGGGTGTAAGATGTTGTATTTGCGATTCAATATAGTAAACGTAGGTATCTTATGAATTTATTGATTTTTTTTGTATGGGAAGCTTAAACCTTTTATGATTTTCACAATTAAAGACATTTCGATTAAGTCATATTCTGTGGCTCTTAAGCTTGTGGTTAATTATATATTTGTCAATAATGACTCAAAAATACTTATTAATTATAATAAAAAATATTTTTGTGTGTAATTTTTTTTTATAGAATCGCCTAATCATTAATATGTTATCTAATCTTATGTAAAAACTCATCAACATATGGTACTGAGGTACAAGGATGCAAAAAAGTCATAACCCTAATACCCAACGAAAAAAATCCTGTTTATTTTCTAATAAGAAACATTTTCCTAGAAAGGGATGAAAAAATGCAAAATTAGAAGTTGCTGTTTTCTACCTGTATCTGAAGGTCATAGATTTACGATCTAACAAGCCTTCTGAACGTCAAATGTACGCCTTAAATGTGGTTTTGCCAATAAGATTTGGCAATCATGGAATTTGTGATTTACAGCAGGGAAAATATGACGGGAATTTCCCGAAAAAATATGTTTGGAAAATAGTTGTTGTTATTGTTTGTCAATAAGAATTTCCAAATTCTTTACATTTATAATACATTTCAGTGCTGCGGAAATCAAAAATGAATGCGAAGTTTTTATATACAAATTTTTGGAACCACGTTATAATGATTTTTACATTTATTTTCAAAGTAATTTATTTTCAAAGTTATTTATTTTCAATTTTACTCGGTAATATTAATCCTTATGAATTAACAACTAAATAATTTTAGATCAACACATTTCTTAAATCTATCTCTGGAAATTCGCATTGAAGTAACGTCTAGTACCTAAAAATGATATTATGCAGATCATGCATTAAAATTTGGAATCGATTTTCATATTTGCGAATATATATATTTGTTTATTCGCAGAGTCGAAAAGTAATAACTGCAAATTTCCAGATTACAATTATTTTCCACCAATAGTCAATAAGAATATTGAATTCAAACATCCGTAATAGTCAGGCGGGATCTTTTTGGATTTAGCCAGCCTACCTACCTAATCATTTGGTATTTGGGAATAACCCCTCTTGAATAATACAGACTAAATTTGCAATGGGATGTGATATGTCATATTTGTGTGTACGCTATTTCTAGTGGGTAAATTTATTTTCTTATTTCTGGTAATAAATGTCATAAATTGTGGCCCTGACGGTAAGTGCCCACCTTAAAACGTGTTTTTACCATTGTCAATAAGAATTTTAATCGCACAATACATATTAGAGTGGGAATTCATAATTTGCTGTCCTTTCCACAAGATCTTATATAAAAGTAGTTTTTATGAAATATCGGTTTGGAAATACATACACTGCATTAGGATGCATTAAAAATTTCTGTGCCAAAAGATTAACAACTTAAAACGAAGTTACGTTTGACCAGGCCCTAAATCGACGGTGACCCTTATAAAGGATAACTTTTTTGGACTTTTTTTATTCTCCAAGAAAAGAAATTCCTGTTTGGAAATTGGGCTATAAACACCAACCTATGCGAATAAGATTTTTTATCCAGAAACCCGGAATATCAAATTACATCCACTTTAGTTACAAAATGCGACAAAAATTAAAAATACCGAAATTACAAAACTTTTTTTTAAATATTGCCACCTCTGATTTCTAAAGATAGATAGACCGGTCTTTCTTATAAAAAGTCATAGTTCTGTTTATATTTCAAATTAATTCCCCTCTCCCCCATTGAATTCGATAGTGTGTCAATTTATCCTTCCTGTAAGTTCCAGTAATTTTGTAAATACATTCGCAAATTACCTACCAATAATATTTCTTTTTTATTTAATATAATAATGACTCATATAAATACTTATCTCAAAATCTTGTTGGGAAATAACAAACATTTTTGGCATACTTTTATGGATTTTTTCAACGATTATAATCAATATTTATGTAATATGTATAACCAGACCAGACCACACACACACAACATTTTGATGTTGTTGTGAACACCTGAAGGAATGTTGCACAGAAACAGAAAAAAACTCCAAAATAAATACCATGCAATTGTTTGTCGGATACACTTGACTGAATAGAACAAACTACCGTTGGATTTTTTTTATTAAATGCTTCAATTAATTCCGATTTTTTTTCTTAGTGATTATTTTTATTTTCAGCTAACAATTAAAATAAAATCAAAACAACAAAACAACTAAAAAAATATGGACTTTCTAAAAATTTTACATAACCTCAATTAAGAATGTGTGACTACCAGCAGTGTGTAATTAAGTAATGGAGCCGGGTATGTAAAAATTACAATGGTTAAAAGACATTGAATAAAAAAAGATATTGTAAACCCATGAAAATTAAATACTGATTTAGGCAATTACCGATTAAATACAAACAAAAAATTAAATTACAACAACAAGCGGTAGCGAGAATAACCACAAAAATGTCTCCCCTTTTCCTACCTTGCCCATATAAATAATATTTTGTTTTATAATAAAGGGAAAGGTTTAATCAGACACTGACTGTCTCACTCACTTGTCAATGGGGAGATTTTAAATTCAATACTAAAATTACAAAACCAGAAAGAAAAAAGCAACAACAACAAACATTAAATGCAGTATCAGAAGACTTTGCCGCTACGTGTTACGAATTTATAATTGAGAAATCAAATACAGGAGCGGAGGTTCAAATGTACCCACGAAAAAAAAACTTTACATCAAATTCCAATATAGAATAAATTATAAGAAAATTAAATTTTATTTTCTCATTTTCGTTAAACATTCGTTGGTAATTATTTTTAGTATTGTCAGGTGGCGGTGGTGATGGGTGAAGGCATGGGAAAAATTTAGTGACGTTTATCAAGAAACACAAATGTTAATTCGTAAAGAGAATGAGGGGGGAGGATAACTAAAATTATTGTTTATAGTTATAGATATGGGGGAAACAATCAACAAGTACTTAGCTTGGCCTAGCTGATTGTCTGCCTGTCTGTCTGTCCGTCCGTCATTTGTAATCAAAACATCATATCTAACCAACCTCATATACACACGCACCATCTTACAAACACCCATTGAACATTAAGTCATAGTAATTAATAAAAGGGGAGGCAAACAGGCGTTGACTTATACCACCCCGCCAAACCCTGTGTATTTCACAAGTGCTGGCGATAACAAATGGCGCTTACAAAACAAAATATTATTATTGTATCGAATTTAGTTATAATTGACAAAATAAAATAGAGGTGTTGTTGTAAGTTAAATTGTCTAAACAAAAATTTGCCTGTACTTAATAGTTTTTACCACAGCCACTTCGGTAAAAAAATCGTTTAGTGCCATCAAAATCCATAAAACGGCGGGGGACCTTAATATGGGGGCTATGTCAAAACATGGACCTACATTGAACATTTTATCATAGATGTTTTTCAGTATACAACATTTTTGAATGCCAAATTATAGGCCCTTGGAAAATGCGATTTAAATCTACAAAATAGCAATAATGGACGCTATACTGAAAAATGGACAAAAATTAATATTTTATTAGGAAGATTTGAAAATATATAAAATTAGATTCAAGTAGGTAGGTAATACCTGTGTCTAAAATCCTTCGATCCGTTATATATCCGTTATAATTACTATATTTTGCTTTCTACACCTATTTCGAAGCAACTACAGTACTCCGATAAAGCTAATTACCAGTGATTGTGAAAATAATTTATCACATAAAGTAACGGTTATCGTTGGATATAACCTCAAGAACAGAGTATGTACGAGCTTTGGTAGAAGGCCTACATGACCGGAAACTATCAAAAATATTCTTTAATTTCTGAAAAGAATCGGAAAACCAGATTACCTGTCGAATGAAATTGAATGAATTGAAGTTAAGATTCATCCATGAAACAAATTACCGTGAGAATGTCCAAAAATTAAAGTTTCGTGCCACAGTTAATAGTGTTATTGGGCTGTTTTTCTTTTTATGAAGTTCGATATATTTAGGAGATTTATGAAGTAAAGGATCGGATTTTCTATACTCATATGTTGGAAACGCTATGGCTCCCTTCGCTAAAGAAAATATACCGCTTGTTTGGGTGTTTCAGCTTGGCAATTGCCACCAAACATACACTAAAACATGTCAAAAACCAGTAAGGAAAGTAGTAAAGTCGGACTGGGCCGACTATATGATACCCTTCACCACTTTGTGTATATTGTACATATGTATCCTAACAATTGCATGTCTATGTTCCTTCTTTCTTCAACATATCCTAACCTTCATTCATTCGAGCAGATTTAGAACCGCCTGCGTAACGTGGGGAAAATTTATGGAAAACAATTTATAGCAAAATTGATACACGCTATTCGGTACGCCGCGTTGTTAAAAATATAATCTAGATGTGGGAGCTATATCTAAATCTGAACCGATTTTCCCGAAAATCACCACTCATCATTCTAGACTCAATTCAGTACGCTATGCCAAATTTCGTGCAAATCGAAGGATATAAAGGGACTTTGGTGCACTACTTACCTAAAACCGGACTAAAATATATATGAAAGCTATATCTAAATCTCAAACGATTTTCACAAAATTTAACACACATCGTTCTAGACTTAATACAGTACGCTATGCCAAATTTCGTGCAAATCGAAGTATATATAGAGACTTTGGTACAACATTTACCTTAAATCGGACGAAAATATATGTGGGAGCTATATCCAAATC